AACAAAAGAAATTTGAGTTTTGAACGAAGCAAAAATCCCTCGAGTTTCCCTTTCGACCTGAAAGGTTTTGTTCAAACTTGCCCAGATTCATCATCATTCATCAAATGGACTGAAGCATTCCTGAAACTGGTCACAGCATGCTTTCTCTGAAAAGGCCCTTAAAAGAATACTATTACAGCTACAGCCATTAAATACTGATGACAAAGCTCCAGACAGACAGAAGATCATCATCATCATTAACATCAATAAGAACCCAATTCTGGAGGAAAATATGAACTTTGATGGTTACTGGAAGTGGCACCTGCAGAGAACACACTGACAGAGGCCACATTTCGGTGACGGAAACAAAGTTCATTAAAGAAAAGTTCAAACCTTTCACCCAGTTGGCAGTGTGATGGACAGGGAAGGTGTGGAAAGGCCACAGTGATGAGATCCAAATCTTAGAAGCAAAACTTTAAACAAGTCATCACTTGTAGGAAATTAACATAAACTGCTTGCCAAGACGACGCCTAGAGCACTGATATGTACATTTTACAGTTCTACCTAAATCCGCCTTCCTGGAAATTACGTTAGAGTGATAGAGATCTCAAAAAGCATAACTGCTCTGTTTGGTAGTAATCCTCCATTTAACACAGTTCATCAATTAGAGCAATAGCTAGCACAACAGTTCATAAAACAAGATAGCATGTAATAAGATGGACAGGGATGCACTGCATTTAACTTTTGTCAGTGTCAAACCGACACACTATAGATAGCGTGGCTTAGGGTACGCTGATACCAAGAACCGATCCACTAACACTGTTAAACGACTAAGCTCTAGTCCTTACTGTGGGGAAGAGACTGGAAGTCATTCCTTCATATTTAAGACAACAACAGGGTTAAGGTATGCTGCTTTACAAACTGTGTGAAATCAATGTGGCAAATAAATAAATCCAATAATATTTATTTATTGCGCTGGTATTTGTAATCAAAATAATAAACAACAGCTCAGTGTGAGAGACATTATGGTGAATTTATGGCACACTGGTTGTCAGTTTGCGTAGGTTTGATTACACAGAGGTGTTTGCAACCTATGCAAACATGCTTGTGTGCAGTCCTCGCTTTCCATAAAGACAGCATGAAGGTCGCCATGAATGACGTTGTGCATAAGTAAAATGCTAAATTGTTCAAAACTGGGCTGGAACCCTGTTCCAAACATTAAATGTTCTTGCTTCACCTCAGCTCTTTGCAACGTTATAAGTTCAGGGTCCTCTGCAACTGTGGGCTACTCTTGCTTATGCAAGAATAGCCCACAGCCTGGCTGCTTGCGACACTTCCCCCTGGTAAAACAGCTACAACATGCGGACGATGGTCTGCAAAGTTGCCCATAGGCTCACCACTGAACTATTAAGGCACCAGTACACTCGATGCATTGGTCTCTTCATGTGTCACCAGTATAATCGTCACACAACCACATTGATGAGTACTCGCCGTTGTAGCGCAAGTAGCCATTGCAGTATTATTCAAAAAACAACAACCAAAAAAAAAAACAGTATGCCACTCAGGCAGCTGTGATGTAGAAGGAGAAGTTGTCAAAACCGGAAGCAAAGAAGGTTTTTTTCCACTAAGTCTCATCTTTCCAAACTGTGGGAACATCTCCCTCCGTTTACCCTGAGCTTCTATACTGTCTCACTAAAACATTGGTTTAAAAAAAAACACAACTTTGTCACCTTTGTTAACGACAGCGCATAGCAAAAGTGACATCACTTTGCTGACACATGCTGTGGCGTTCTTTCAGCTGCTTGAGCACCTCTCACAACTTGATGTTTGCGGCCTAGTTGAAGATACAGCGTATAATTGTGTCCTTGTGGCCGTTACCTCCATTTCTGTGATGTATCCATGTAGAACATTAGGTTGCTGTAAACTGCAGTAAAACCTTGCAAACACGTGTTACAATTAACATAAAGAAACTGCTGAAGCGGTGAGCAAGACAAAGCATCATCATTGGTTTTCAGTCGTGTTAGCTCTCCTGACCACAGTGTGTGGTTAAAACTGAAGTGTTGCAAACATACAAATAAAAGCTAGCTGGATATCAGCAGTAATATTTTCATGCAATAGTGTTTCTAAAGTTGTCCAAGCAGGTGAACTTCTGAAAGTAATTTTAATGTGAGCTCAGCTCTGCAATAATGCTATCTTTGCAGACTGCAACACGTACTTTGAAGCATTACTGTAAAAGCACAGAGGCCTCTTTACAAGTGAACATCCTCACATGGAAAAATGTACTTCAATTTGGCTTGACTTGAGCTACGAGTCATTTCTTTGCTCGTACAACTGTAGCTGTGTGCTTTCGGTGGGTTTTCCAGTTTGCAGACGAAAAGGTGCTAAAACAACCTGCTGTGCATCTACACCGTGGGCAGACTGTGTGTCAAAGCCTGTTCTCAGAAAAGCCTGCTCCTCTCTCTAACTACAGAAGACAAAAGAACTACACTGCTGCTGTTTGACACAAGGACAATATATTATGTAATGCAGTACAGTGTGCACATTTAAGGTCAGAAGCAGCTCCTCAGGCTAAAGAAACACATGCAAGAAGTGTTTTTCAAAGTAGAGGGTCGGGTTTGATTTAATACACCAAGAAATGTGGACAAAACTAAGTTACCTTTGATTGCCATTCCTGTGTGGGAATGTACACTACCAAGAGAAACCACAAATAAAATGGTGAATAATTTGAGTTTACACTCTACTGCACTACTGATAGCATGCCATTAGGTAGAAAGTGGATAGAAAATAATGCTTCTGTGGTCTATCTTTCCTGCACATTCCTTCATATACTGCTTGTAATCTGCCATCAGCTACAAGGAAAACCCCTTGAGATACTCCCACAATACATTTTCCAGGCATTTTATGCAACACCAAGCAACTTAAACAGAGGACTAACCTCATGTAGGAACAAAAAGAAAAAAGAAAAAGAAAGAAAGAAAAATTTAATGAGGTAATGTCAGCTCACTATAAAGCCCACACACTAGCGGTATTTCCAGGATGCTTTAAATGAGGTGGCACAGGAAATCTGAATATTTGATTGAGAAAACTGGCCTAGAAAACATTAGGTATGACTTTCAGGCTCATGTGAAGCCCCGTGCAATAATTAAGATGATATTACAGGGAATGTGGTGCTGCACATGAGACTGAACATATTTTTTTACCCAGTGTTTTTGCAACGCATGTATTTAGACTCTTTATTTAAGTGAAAGTCTCACTTAAGCAGCCTGAGAGTACTAACACAGCACCAAAACAAACTTTACATTTCAAAGCAACATTAACAAAGCAAATGCAGAATTAATATCAAATCATAATCATTGATGATCACTTTAATAATGCAGCTGGAGATTATTTAAATGTGTCTGGGTGCTTTCATGTATACATGAAAGCTGTTATTGGGTTTATATTACAATCTTTAAAATATTAAGAACCCAAGGCTTCAAGATAAATCATGTGGGGTGCAAATTACATTATTAGCACCTAGAATGTAGTAGATTAAAACTGCATTTCTGTAAATGTTTAAGTAAATGTGGCAGAAATAAACCTGAAGACACATATAGAAACTAGAGTTGATTAAATTACTGCACATGTCACTGGATGACTACACGCAGCACGTTACAGAAACTGAAGAGACGTTCTTATTTTCTGTTACATTATTTTTTCGACGCCACGCTACTCTCTGCTTCTACTCAACTACTTTTGAATGGAAAGAAATTAAAAACCTGTTTACAGCTGAAACACTAAGGTGACATTACTCATATTAAGAAATCAATAGTTATGCTCTCAGAGCATCATGAGTACATGACTCCAGGTACCTTTAAGTGGAGTCCTTTTTTTTTTTTTTTACATTAAAGGTTTGAGTTTATTGTAATTTTCCACTTCTAATCACTACATTGTGACTGTGCAGTGAACCATGGCTAACAGATCCAGAGTAGCACTGCTGCAGAAGCCTCAGGCAGAGAGCTAACACACAAAGCTAGTATAGTTAATTATGGTTTGCAAAAACAAACTATGCATTTTTAGAATATCTGCTATAGCTATAGGAAAACTGGTGACAAATATAAATATAAATATTAAAATAAAGATAATGGGAGGCATAACTGACACTGGTGGGTCGTTTTAGTGACTTGAGGGTTGTTTTAAAGCAGACACTTTTGTATTTCTGTCCACTGGAATAAATGGAATTAGCATTTTTGATTGAGTCTAATTGTTATTCAATCCAGTTATTTTAAAGCCTCGGTTTCTCCACAATTATAACAGTAAATGACACTGTGTTAGTACACATAAAGTACAAACAATTAAGTCGCTAATGGCTGCAATATTAAACTGATAAACACAACAATGAATCCATATTCTTGATGTGACATTGTAATGGATGAGTTTCCTTTTACTTTAGGAACTTTAAGAATATAAAACATGTTTCCAGCATCTGTCTAGTTAAACAGGATAACGATCTTTAGCCGAGTGAAGAATCTAAACAGTTTTTTTCCATCTCTTTGCGAAACAGCTATTTAGTAAAAACAGCCTTAAACCTTTAAGCACGATCACTTTCCATGTGCACAGAGCTTCACGCGAGCCTGAAAAATCACACCCAGTGACTTTTTCTACTCTGCATTTATTTCTGATCAAATGTTCCGATTCCCCGCGGGCCCCCTATGCGGACCCCACTTTAAAAGAAATCCTGGAAACGCCTCTGTCCGCCTGAAGTGATCGATACCTCAGATATCGTCCACCCTGTTCAGCATTGATAACAGCTAAAAGTAGCCACATAAAATGCACTTCCAGGCTAGTATAATGCCATGAAGTCAGCGACCACCGGCCGGGATTTCACTGCCGTCTTCCTTTAAGCAACATCGGCTTCTCGCTGTTCCTTGCTAGCCAGACGAAACATGACAGTTAGAAACGGAAAAGATGCGGGTTAGCCGCCGTTTACGTCGGGCTAAAATCAAAAAGTGTCAGCCCGAGACACTTCGGCTACAACTTACCACACCATCCCGTAGGCGCCTTCGCCGATGTAGGAGAGGTTGCTGTACCGAGGCCCGACGTCGAAGGCCTGCCCGCGGACCAGCTCCGTTCCCGGCCCGGGGCTGGGGCCGCTGCCAGTTGGGGCAGACACCGCAGCTGTCGCCATTACGAGGACTGTCTTTTAAAAGGGCTTTTAAATGTAAAAAAAGAGCGACTAGGATCAGAAAAACGTGCGTGTCTGTGTCTTATATCCGACGCCGCTGTGACTGCAACAGGGTGTAGAGTGTGGCGGAGGCCTTCCCGACGTGTGGAGTGTTTTTTTCCTTTCCGTTAACGTGCGTTCAGAGCGACCACACCGCGGCTGTGCTGTCGCAGGCAGGAGCGCGCAGCAGAGGATGCTGCTGCAAGACATCAACGGAGGCGGTCACGTGACTCCGGTCTTTATTTATTTATTTTACTTTAAAAGAAAAAAAGCTTTATTTTTATTCTGCCACAGAAAGGCTGTAACGGAGAGGACTTCAGATAACATTTACGTCACTTGAAACATTACAAATACTAAAAAAAGAAACTGGGCTCTTGGAACTTTATCAAGTGGGCTATAAATGCAATTGTAATATTATATATACTATATTATATTATTTTATTATTATTATTTACCTCTACTCTGATGTTGGCTTTGATCTACCTGTTAGCAGCTGCAGAACAAGATTACATGTTCTTTTAAAACATGAAAAAACACCCCAAAGTAACACTTTCCCGATGAAAGTAGTTACTTTAAATGCATGAAGTGTAAACTTCATCTTACTAAACTGCATCCTACTCCTTTTCGAGCACACACATTCTGAAGACATAGATATATACATGAAAACTTGATGTTTGTTAAGTTTTGTTTTTTGTTTTTTCTCTTGTTATTTCAGTTATATTTGCATATTCAAAATAAAATTCTATCTATCTATCTATCTATCTATCTATCTATCTATCTATCTATCTATCTATCTATCTATCTATCTATCTATCTATCTATCTATCTATCTATCTATGAATTCGACCTTTGCAAGTTTGTTCAATAACTACATAACTTTGGTTGTGGAGATATTGAAAGACAAAAATGTAGTCAAGTGACGAAATGACATATCTACATGTCCTAATTTTCTCTGTAACTGATGAAATCGGTGTTTCTCCATGTCACAATATTCCTAAATTATGATCTGATCTGGCATGCTGAGCTGTAAATAAATTCAGTAAAGTTTTAAGGACATAAAGTATAATAACTTATACATTATTTCATATGCAGCCTTGTCTACATATAGAGACCCTTTTATTTCAGGTTTTTACATAAAAAGGAAAATTATCACCTTCTTAGCTATTTTAAAATAGATTATAAAAATAAGAATTTTCACATCAAAGTTACCTATAAAATGATGATGATGAAGTTTTAGAATTAATTTATTATAAGATAAATATAATATAAAAACCTATTCGATCTCTAAAGAAAGAAAAGCGGATTTAATATCAATGACGCAGCTTCTACGCATTTAGTTGATGCCACTGGTTAATTTTGGAAGGTTATAAACACTTTTATTTTGCATATAATACTTTCCATCTGCAGAATTTCATTAAATGTTGGACCATAGGGGGGCACCTTAAAAAAGTAAGTTGTCATGTGCTTTAAACATGAGCTGCTTTCTTTTACCTTTTAAATGTGCACTCAATGACTTACCTGTTAAATAATGTTACATTGACACACTGCACCACCTGGTGGTAGCTAATTGTATTATGCAAAAGTGCAGCTCAGGTATAATTCAGCTTCAGCTAGCATCTCTTCCACACAGTACACTGATGCTTTGGGCATAAAGTCATAGGGTTTCTTTACATTCTGCTGATAGCTTTAGTTCCCTCTAGTTTGTAATTGTTTAACTTATTTAGACAAACCTTTAAAGCATAAATAACTAAATGAAAAAGAAGTGAGAGAAAAGAATGAAAAACCATTACATTAAAAAAAGAAGAAGAAGTGCTGAACGACAGAAGGTTCGAAGCAGATTGTTTAGAAGATATGAAAATACCAAAAACCACGACTAACCACTACTTCCTCATTATCTCCACAGAGTGAGAAGATTTTTACGCACATACTCGTGAATAATACCCACAACGACCCAGACCTCTAGATGGCAGTGTGGGTTAAATACTATGTGAGAGAGGAAGCGCTGCAAGGCAGAAGTTGCTAAAGATCATCAAGTTTGCAGTAGTTCACAATAACATCCCGTCCATTTTGGCCCACTAAAACAAAAGAAGCCCAGTCTGCTTCTCTGATCAACAAACTCTTATTTA